TTTCTTTATTTTAGATCGGAGTTATTTAACTTGACCTTGAGCAATTGTTTGAAATACTTCAAAGCTCAACCAAAGTAATCATGCAACCTTTTATAAATTGAAATTAACAAAATGTGAACTAACAGGCTATCAAGACTTTCCTAATGAGTTTAGATCGACTTGCAATATTTTTTACTACAAAAACTTAACTAACTAGGAGCAAAGAGCGTGGCTTAAAACTTAAGATGCTCTCAGACCTCCGAGAGTGTGTCGTGGGTTCTGCGGCGGTAAATAAGGCACAAAATTTGAAAACTACCAAACTTTTACTGAACGTAACACTACAAATTTCTAAAGAAACAATAATAATCGCGGGACTTTCTTTATCCCCAGGAACTCCGTCCTGTGGAACGTCTTCCGCACGTCTCTCCACCCTTCACGAACCGACTTTTTAACCGGGGATTGCAAATATCCCTTGTTGCCGCACTTCACTTTTATTCGCGAACCACAAACTGTTGCAAATTTTTTAAAAAATATAGTAAAAACATACACAACAGTAACGTTCGGTGTAGTGAATGGTCCCAAAGAAGAAAAACAAAAGCACTCCGAAAAAATTCAACACTCAAGGAGTTAATAATGGCCAAATTTTCTAAAAAATCGTTCACTATTAGGTTAAGTTTGTTGTAAAAAAAATGTTTGTTTAGTTGAAGTTGTGTAAAAAACAAATAAATTTATTTTAAAGTAGTAACATGTTGCTCTTAAAAATGAACTGAAGTACATAAAGACATGAACTGAAAACAAGCTGTAGGAATAAGTGGTTCTTAACGAATATTGATCTTTAAAAAAAAATGTATTTTTTTTTTCAAAGAAACTTTCACAGGCTACTGTCATACTTTTCACAAAACTTCTGGACTCCTCCTGCGTCGGTTTTTGCTAAGTCGAACTTGCTGACGTTTCGCCAATCATCCTGTTCGATTCTTCAGAGTTTGACTGAAACTGGCTCGCATTTTACTCTGTGTCTGCTTATACATTGTTTGAGCGGGGCGGAGCTAAATGAGGGGCATAAACACCGTCTCGGATGACTGATATCACATATCAAAAGTTCTAAAGAAGTATAACGTCAAAACCAGATATACCACTTGTCCAAAAATCTCTCAACATCTTCGGTCCGTCAAAGATAAAATTCCATTTGAGATGCTAGGAGTTTCTCAGCATTCCAAGCATATGCGGCAAAGAATACATTGCAGAAACCGGACGAAAAATTTCAACTAGGCTCAAAGAATACAAAAGAGCCTTACGACTAAGACAAATAAACTCATCAGCTGTTGCCGAACACAATCACGAAACCGGACATAAAATTTTATTCGATAAAATTAAAATTCTTCCATGTAATCAATTCTTCTACCAACGAAAAATCCGAGAGTATATAGAAATCTATAAGCAAACTAACAATCTTAACCGCAACCTGTCACCAATATGGGAATCAGTCATCCGAGACTGTGTTTATGCCCCTCATTTAGCTCCGCCCCCCTCAAACAATATATGAGCAGGTAGAGAGTAAAATGAGATACAGTTTCAGTCAAGCTCTGAAGAAGCCAACAGGATGATATGCGAAACGTCAGCAAGTTCGACCCAGCAAAAACCTGCGCAGGAGGAATCCAGAAGTTTTGTAAAAGTAAAATTGGTAACGTAGTTATTCCACGGGGCGTTTGCCATGAAGCAACTTATTAACCCTGTATATTACGTTTATCAAACGACTGAAAAAGTGGATTAAAATTTCTCATTTTATATCATGTTTATTTATGAAAATTATCCTAAAAATAAAAAAATTGTGATTCCTCAAATTTAACCTTTTTCCTCAAAACAGGGCCCGAATGCAAAAACACAGAACCTCGAAAATTGTGAGACTTACTAGTACAGAAACAAGATGCTAAAGGTAAAATGTCTGTTAGGCTTTTCTATTTTAAATATTACTGCACGCAGACATTTCAACAAAGACTTTTGGTCAACCAGGTCAGAGTTAAGGGCAAAATTGTCGGCCGATGTCGGTTAAGCGGTGTTCGTAGAACGACCAATTGTTAGTGTGTGGCAAAAAAAAAACAGTTTCTTCAATTTTCCGCCTACCTAGAAACGATTATTATCTAAACCTGGAATCTATTACGAATCTCAATCCCTACAATCGAATAATCAGCAGCGCATTTCTATGGACGCACGATTACCGCATTAAAATTCTAAATAATGGCATTTCTACAGAAACAACGACGGCCAACCAAAAATTATAGTTGAGGATGAAATCGGAAAATGTAAATGGGCCATAGGCTAGATAAAGGCAGATCCGAGATTATAAATTAGGAATTATATCTGCACGATCTCTTTAGGTATATAGAATTGTCCGTTTTATTACACTCCTATTACAAGATCAATAAGTACACGTTGATTATTGTTATAACCGACCAATTTGGATGCACTGGTTTATGGTTATTGCATTCGATGGTTGTACATTAACTATATTAATGTTAGAATGATTTGCGGTGGATATGAATAGAACACACTCTAACTGAATTTATTATTATTTTTTTTAAAGACTCAACAAAATTACTTCCACTTACAGAGTAGGGTGGGAACAACCTAAGAATTACAAGAATACAAGTAAATAATTAATTCAATATTTCAAGCAGTTTAAATTTAAGCTTTAAGGGTAACTGAAGATTACCTACTTAGTAAGGGAATTGTCTACGTAAAAGTTCATGAATATTAATTTAATTTAATACTTCGGGATCATTAGTGAAATTATATAGCAATTCAACAATAAAAAAATTGCCATCATTTTTTTTGTTTTGTAGTGAATGAATGATGATTCCATGATAATGTTTGATAATGATAATGTTTGTCGTTGGTATGTGGATTTGGTGCACACACAGTCTCTAAGGATCTAACTTTTGAAAATTTATCATTTTTATACAACAGATTATTGCAAAATAAGTGCAAGTTTTGCTTTATCAATTGGGAACTGTTGCGCCTCATACATTTTTTTATCAGATCAATTCCTTTGTCTTCATCAGTAGATCAATAATGCTAAATATGTGACAATGAATGACAACCGGAAAACAACAAAATGCCTATAAAATTTAAAAGTTGATTTTTTGAAAACCAGAATTCATGGCGGTTATTGTCTGGAGCATATTTTACCGAAAACTTTAAAATCAAATCAACCACTTCGTCACAAAATATAAAAAATATTTCAAGCGGATTTTATCCAGAAAGCCGATTTTTTAGTTCCTCACATGATCTAAATTCATGGGATATAAGTGTATAAGTGTACTCAGTCTGACGTTTCTTCCATTTGACAATAGAAGCAAGCCTGTCGTTTGCAGAAAGCATACGTCTCCTTTTGAATTCTAGGGTTTCATCATCTGATGAGTCCCATTCAGGTTCAGCAGTTGATGAATTACAGGACTGTTGAAGGACAGCTGTATCATTCTGTGTATGTAACTCGAAAGTTCTAACTGTATAAGTTGGTTCCACACACTCTTGTAGATTTATGCTTCTTACAAAACTTCTGAATTCCTCCTGCGTAGGTTTTTGCTTAGTCGAAATTGTTGACGTTTCGCCAATCATCCTATTGGCTTCTTCCGAGCTTGACTGAAACTGGCTCGTATTTTGATCAGTACCTGCTTATATATTGTTTGAGGAAGGGGGTGGGGGGGGCTAATGAGGGGTATAAACACCGTCTCGGATGACTAATTCCCAAATTGGTGACAGGTAGAGACCTGAGTAGCGATTAATATTGTTAGGTTAGATTTCTATAGACTCTCGGATTTTTCGTTGGTAGAGGAACTGATCACATGCAAGAATTTTCGTTTTATCAAATAAAATTTTATGCCCGGTTTCATGAGTGTGTTCGGCAACAGCTGATGAGTTTATTTGTCTCAGTAACGAGCCAGTTTTAGTCAAGCTCTGAAGAAGCCAACAGGATGATTGACGAAACGTCAGCAATTTCGACTAAGCAAAACCGACGCAGGAAGAATCCAGAAGTTTTGTAAAAAGCATTACAGTAGCCTGTGGAAGTTTCTTTGAAAAATTACTTGTAGATTTATGTTATCGTTTATATCTTCTTCGTCAGTCAAGGTATCCACGTCGGGTGGAATATAGACAACGTCGATATGTTCTGTAAATATTTTTTTTCTGTATTTTTTTTTAGCATACATTTACGAGGAAATGTCCTCATCTATCATGATGTCCTCCATAGCCGCCTTCACTGCGCAAGGCACAAACTAATACTAAAGAACACGCTAATTATTGAATGTTTATTCTACATGCGCTGACTTGCCTACACTTGCAAAGTTTTGTTTCACACATAAAATCAATGGTGCATTCACGTACCAGTAAATATTTTCAAAAAATAAATATAGTAATCAATATAGTATTTCGAATGTATGTTTTCTGCGATGTAATCTACATGCTATAGACTTAACAAAAATGGCAATCAATACAAATCCAAAATATTTTTTTTTACTATTTTGGATTTACTTGAAAATGTGTATCAAATTTATGTACAGCTTTTGTTAACTTTTGAAGTCATATATAAGATCTTTCCTTTACACATAAATTAGCGATTTCTACGGTTTTATGTCCTTGAGTGATAATAATAAAATTTCTAAATGGATGTGCAAACATATTTCCTGAATGTGACAAAAAAAATCATAGAATAGTTCATTCATTCATTCACGCACCACTGGGACAAAATGGGTTAATAAACGAATGATTTAAAATGGTTACCAAACGTGTTGCATACTATACTTTTTCAACTAGCGTTATTTTTTGGGTACATTATTGCAAAACATCACGAATACACACACTGATATGACCAACCGAAATAACAAACGTAATCATCCAAACCTTGCGGTAATATCCCCGAAATCATTCGATTGCATCCAAACCTGGAGATAATCGCCGCAAAAACTCCAGTTCAGTATCAAAATTTAAAAACTGTAAATTATTTTTCTATTGGGCGTTCTACTCACTTATCAACATAACAGGCCCAAAGACGTTGACGTCGTCCAAAAGCGAGCAGTTCCATCGTCGGTGCTGAAACTGATGTTTGCATTCGTTCAGTGCCTGCTTTGCTCCGATAGCCACAGCGTTCATGTGGTCCATGTACAGCTGGCACATTCTGCTTTGACCGCTGCTCAAACCGGGCAGCGCGCTACATGCTGGAAGACCCTGGTCGTTTTGCATCATTTCGTCCATTATCATCCCCATTCGCCTGTAAAAATGACAACATGACGATACAGTAAATTTAGAGAAAGGCAATTTGCATCTGAATACACTTTACGTGAAGAAAAATGGATGTTGGAAAGAAACTATAAACCTGATAGATATATTGAGAGATTATGAGGATGGTGATGAAGACATGTTGATAGATCTTCTGATCAATGTATTCAAGGTATGGACCGTTTGTTTTTAAAGTGGTGTCAGTCCATTTAAAAAAAAAAGAGATATCGCGTAATTCGTTTTTAATTAAATGTATTTTTTTATGTAAAACTAATCCTTGTTTAATTTCTTAAAAAATTTTGTACAACTTAAAATTGGTCGGTAAATGAAATTGCATAATCATCGATTATGAAAGTGGTTTAAGTTCAATTGGCAAAAGATGGTTGCCGATCAGCAATTTGTTATTTTTCATTTGTTTTATCTTACGCGTCAAGAGTTGCTAATTTAGGTTACTTATTCTATTTTTTTCGGTAAATGGTAAATCAATATTATTTTATAACAATTGAAAATATTTATTTTACTTAGTTATAAATAAATTCATGAAGACATAAAGTCCATGAATATAAACAGAAGAATAATTAATGAACCACAGGATGAAAACAATTCAAACAAATCGTGAAAAGAAGATTAATAGAGGTAGAATCAGATGACGGTATTGTTATTGACAACTTAGATTCTGCAGAACAAAATATAGAAAAATATTTGCAACAAATAAACAAAATTAACCGAAATAGTGGACAAAAGTATTGTGCAAAAAGAGGAAAACACAATGTAAAAGATTTAGTGTTTTTCGTGAATTCTTTCCAAATATCTACTGGACGAATTGATCGTATCCTAAAATAGCATTCTAGAAGACATGCATGGAAAAATGGATGACTTGCAAAAGAACTAGTGAGCTACTGACCAGCTAAAAGCTTCAGCTAACGCATAAAAGCTTTTGAGCCATCTGAAAGTCACTCGATCACAAAATCCAGAACGGATGTTTTTTAAACCCTGAATCAAATGTAAGAAAAATGTATAATTTATACTTATATAGGAAAATCTTTAAACGAGTATTGAAGTTACACTTTCAATTGCCAGCATTACAAGAATATAAAATTCTGGAATTAGAAAATCTTGTTACATACTTTGACTTACAAAAAGTCCTACCTTACCAGAAATTATTTGTCACAATTGCATATTACAAGCGAAATATGTATGTTTTAAACTAGGGTTTTCACAATTACCACCATAATAAAATATTTATGTGCATTTAGAAAATGTCGTAACGATCCAAAGCTTGTCTTGTCTACAGCGACATGTGTACTGGGAAATTTACAAATGGCATTGTTGTGGTTGAAACGACTGGGTGTTGGAAAATAACATTGACATAATTGACACCGCAAAATTTTTACTTTCGGGGCAAATGGCATTGTAAAAAAAGAATTCTCTGTACACACCACAAGATTACTGTGATGTAATAAAGCAATACATGAAATGAAAGCAACAAAAAGTCTTAAAAATTCGATTAACGGATAAAAAAACACGAATTTCGGACAGGGCCACGGTCAATTGATTAATCCCAACAGTACCTCCGTGGTAAATGCCAGTAAATACTATCAGTATATATAAATATAAAATAATAAATATAAATATATAGTATAAATTTTATGTCTTGTCACGAGTGTTTGTAAACAAATTTGGATTTGTACGGTTGTCTTATTTTGAAAGTGGTGTACGTCTATTTACAGCAGGTAAATATGTGTTATTATAGTCTAGTTTGAGAAAAACAAATTTACATAATTAAATTAATTTGTTTATAAAACCATAGAAACATTGCTAGACTTCATATAATTTGCTTAAACTTTTAAATTAACAGATATGCTGCCTCTAATTTTCTCGCAACAAGAGAATATATTTCTACAGCACTTTCAAAATAAATGGTCCATATACAAGAACAACGTATAAAAGCAGTAACGGTTTACAATCGGCTGTAGTTCAGTACTGTCGAATGCAAGAGCATGAAAGGATATAGTGGTTCCAGCACAATATATACGGTGTATATAAAATAAGGATGTCCCACATGGGAACATTGGAAACCATGACAAATACGAAGATGGTTAAATTAGAAAAAAGTTGCAAATTTTAATGGTTCAAACCTACTTCCGGAAATACGCCAAAACCGATATTTGCCGATTTGGATTAGATATAAAGAAATAATGGTAACTTTCTCGTCGTCACTTTTTCTGCCTTACAGCGATATACGACATCATACGATTTTACGTTGTTTAAATCTTAGAAAAGGCTTTTTATTAAATTTTCAATGTTTGTTACCAGAAAAAAAATGTCATTATTTGTTATCATACTTTCGTCCGACCAAATAAGCTTATCTGGAAAATTTGAATGGGTGAAAATTTTTTTTCCTAAAATAAAATGAGCAATAGATTCGCAGTTGTTTTTCTTCATTGCAGGGTTTATTTTCGGATAAATCAGGTTTCATAAGCGCACTATAGTGCATAATGGCATAAGATATAATATTGGAGCACATCGAAATTCTCCTCAAATTTTGAAGAGCAAAAAAAAAACAACTATAAAAAGAGGCCTCAAAAATCAATATCTCAAAAAAATCATTTTGACACTTTCTCAACGCCATCATGTCAGCGCCTACTACACTAAACTACTAAAAACAACCAGATTTTGTGATTTGAACAATGTATAATCATATCATCTCGTACATCTTGGTATTCGTAATAAAAAATGATATTTAATGCATAGGGTCTTTTTTTCATTGTCAATATAAAAGATCAAGTTGATGATGATTTCATCCAAAAACGAAACGCCGTACTTAAAATCTCTCAACGTTATTTTGTACACGTCAAAAAGTGGCGATAAGTAGACCATTTTTTATCTCTTTAAATATGAGTTAGTTTTCTCAACACCGCATTATTAGCATCTAAATTTTGCAACTTTTATATTACAGTTTCCAATAGCCCCATGATCTTGCACACGCTATATTTTCCATGTTAAAATAAAATCTCAGTAAATCTCTTTCAACATTCCATAGTCACACCTTTGTTGTATTTATGGAAAGATAATTGTGGGCAAACTGTGTAAATTGACCTAAAACCAAGCGGCACAACAGTGAATTTGATGCCAATGGGAGATTTTCGAGTTCGACGTTTCGTTTCGGCTTAATCATTATCAATTTTTTTTTGATATAGTCTATATAGTCTTATTCTACATTGTTCCAATATTCAAAAAAAAATTGAATAAGTACCTAAGGTAGATCACGTCACGTGTTAATTCATTAAAAAATTACTAGAAAAGAATTTGCCAATAATGAATATTTCGACGGTTAAATATTCCATTGTTGTTTCTTTGCGTACGACGAAATAATCTTATGAGGAAAGTTTTCATCTTTCCGACCTTTCCTAGTATATAATTTGCAAAATATTCTTCGTCGGTCTTCATCACCAGATCTAAGCGCTTGACAAATTCTAAATTTAAATTTTCACATCTTTGTTGTAGTTATGGAAGGATAACTGCGGGCAAAGTACGTAAATTGATGTAAAACCAAGTGAATTTGATGGCAATGCTGCCAATCTATTGAATTCGCACAATTTATCGATTGTCCTAGATTTTAATACTCCGCAGCATCCAGAAATAGAGCATATCAGTCAATATTGCCGTTCATTCCCACGTATCGATTGCGTAAAAAATCCTACCAACGGATTCGAACCATAGATTACGCCATGTCGAACCGAAAAGCCCATCACAGCCTGGTCTGAAGCTTGTCGTTTTTAAACTATTCATTAAACCAATAATCTAAAATCCGATTTATAATGCCGCGTGGTAAGATCTATCTCGAAGATATACGACGCCTTCGGTAGAAAGTAACATTAATTCCTGATACTAGCGGAAATCTACAAATCATTGTCTCCTTTCAGATACCTTATCCAATAAAAAGTATTTCAGAAAGAGACGGGCTATTAATTTGATCGTAAGTTATCGCCAATCACGATATAGAAGGTTTTTATCAAAGATGCTAATTTTTAATATTAGGTTCCGCCGGTTATGTCGTTATTTCTTTCACCGAACATCTTTATTAAGCCTATTATCTGCTTTATATTGTTCCTTGCGGTTGTATTTGCTTATTTACTGGTGACGAAGACACAGATTTTATCGACGGTTTTAAGACTTCTTCTCTAGCACTAGAGACAATAAAATGCTACGCTATAAATTGCTAATAAAATTTTTATGAAAAATAGCACCATAAATGTCGCACACCGAACTTCACGCTTCTATATTACTTTGCAGTAGTTGCTAATTGCAACTCCAAGGAATAACGATTTTTAAATAAAAAATTGCCTTCTTAACTATAAACGGACCTTCGATTTCATTCTGTTATTTATTTATTATTTTATTAAGTATCAACGGTCTTGCGCACATTAACATATTGCCATTATAAAAAGTTTTCAAGTTAGTTGACACTTCACAGCTAGTTTAATTTTGGCGCCAATTTTCCAAAATACAAGTCAAATAAACAAACGAAATGTATTAATTAAACTAGACATTATATACTATACTTATTGATAATTGTTTAAAGATTACGATAAACATTTAAGATTTACATGGACAGAGAAAAGGGAGTTCTACTGTTTTTCATATTTTATAAAAATCTTTGCTGCCTTGTCTTAAAATAATCGTCAGATATTGTTTAGTGATGTTTAAATCGTCGGTAAATAAACAAAATTTTCAATAATGAAGTACAAATAATCCCCGATGAATAAGAGAAAATCATACGCAACATCAACAAAAAATAAATATTTGAGCAAGGGTTCCCAATAATATAATTATTGGACCCTATTCCTTCAATAGAATAGTCTGCAAGATCTGCAGATATTATTCCACTAGATTTTTTCTTCCGGATTTATTTAAGTGTAGAATTTATTATTTTTCTAATTTTCACTTTAACAATTTAGAATTAGATACGAAATAAGGCAAATTAGTTAA